TGGCCGCCCCTGTCGCGCATGAGCCTGACCTCCAGCGTCGCAACCAACATCTCGCTGAGCATCGCCAGGGCCGTCTGCCGCTGCTCGCCCTTCTCGCGCGTGAGGTTGGACCCCAGCATCGCCACCATCTCGCTGAGAAGCGCCGGGGCCGGCTGCCACTGCCCGCCCTTCTCGAACGCGAGCCTGACCTCCAGCCTTGCAACCACCATCTCGCTGAGCATCGCCATGGCTGGCTGCCACTGCCGGCCCTTCTCGCACTTGAGGTTGGGCTCCAGCATCACCACCATCTCGCTGAGCAGCGCCGGGGACGGCTGCAACTGCCCGCGATTCTCAAACGCCACCTTGACCTCCAGCGTCGCGACCACCATCTCGCTGAGCATCGCCAGGGCCGTCTGCCACTGCTCGCCCTTCTCGCACGCGAGCCCGCCGTCCGGCGTCGCAACCATCTCGCTGAGCATCGCCATGGCCGGCCGCCACTTCCCACCCTTCTCGAGCGTGAGCCTGGGCTCCAGCATCGCCACCGACCTCTCGCTGAGCATCGCCATAGCTGGCTGCCACTGCCCGCCCCTCTCGCACGTGAGGTCGGGCTCCAGTATCACCACAATCTCGCTGAGCATCTCCAGGGCCGGCTGACACTGCCCGCCCTTCTCGAACGTGAGCCTGACCTGCAGCGTCGCCACCGACTTCTCGCTGAGCATCGCCAGGGACGGCTGCCACTGCCCGCCCTCATCGCGCGTGAGGTTGGGCTCCAGCACCACCACCATCTCGCTGAGCATCGCGAGGGACGGCTGCACCGGCCCGCCCTTCTCGAACGTGAGCTTGACCTCCAGCGTCGCAACCACCGTCTCGCTGAGGAGCGCCAGGGCCGGCCGCCACTGCCCGCCCTTCTCTCACGTAAGGTTGGGCTTCAGCATCGCCGCCGACTCGCTGAGCATCGCCAAGGCCGGCTGCAACTGCCCGCCCTTCTCGCGCGCGAGGTCGGGCTCCAGCGTCGCCACCACCATCTCGCTGAGCATCGCCAGGGCCGGCTGCCACTCCCCGCCCTACTCGCACGTGAGGTTGGGCTGCAGCATCGCCGCCGTCTCGCTGAGCATCGCCGGGGCCAGCTGCAACTGCCCGCCCTTCTCGCACGTGAGGTTGGGCCCCAGCGTTGCCACCATCTCGCTGCGCAGCGCCAGGGCCTGCTACCGCTGCCTGCCCTTCTCGAACCTGAGCCTGACCTCCAGCGTCGCAACCAACATCTCGCTGAGCATCGCCAGGGCCGTCTGCCACTGCACGTCCTTCTCGCACGTGAGCTTGGATTCCAGCATCGCCGCTGTCTCGCTGGGCATCTCCAGGGCTGGCAGCCAATGCCTGCCCTTTTCGCACGTGCTGTTGGGCTTGGGCTCCAGCTTCACTCCCAAGCTCTCGCAGAGCAGCGCCAGAGCTGGCCCCCACCGCCCCTTCTCGCAGGCGCTGATGCGGGTGCTGTAGCGGATGATGGGCTCCAGCTTCACTCCCAGCGTCTCGCAGAGCAGCGCCAGAGTTGGCTACCCCTCTCCCTTCTCGCAGGCGCTGATCTGGGTGTTTTAGCGGCTGATGGGCTCCAGCCGCACTCCCGACATCTCACAGAGCAGCGCCAGCTGGCTGCAATTGCCCCTTCTCGCAGGCGCTGATCTGGGCGCTGTAACGGACGGCGGTCGGCACCAGCGTCGCCACCCACATCTCTCTGAGCGGCGATTGGGCCGGCTGCCAATGCCCGCACTTCTCACACGCGCTGGTCGGGACGTAGCTCCCGAGGACAGGTCGACACCAGCTTCGCCACCCACGTCTCTCTGAGCAGCGACTGGGCCGGCTGCTACTGCCCGCACTTCTGGCACGCGCTGGTCAGAATGGAGCTCCCGAGGACGGTCAGCACCAGCGTCGCCACCCACATCTCTCTGAGCAGCGACCGGGCCAGCTGCCAATGCCCGCGCTTCTCGCACGCGCTGGTCGGGACGTGGCCCCCGCAGACAATGGGGGCCAGCCTCGCCACCCACGTCTCTCTGAGCAGCGATAGGGCCAGCTGCCACTGCCGGCACTTCTCGCACGCGCTGGTCGAGACAATGTAGCTCCCGAGGACGGTCGGCACCGGCTTCGCCACCCACATTTCGCAGAGCAGCGAACGGGCCGGCTGCCACTGCCCGCGCTTCTCGCAAGCGCTGGTCGAGCCGTATCACCCGTGGACAATGGGGGCCAATTTCGCCGCCCACGTCTCTCTGAGCAGCGACGGGGCGGGCTGCCACTGCCCGCACTTCTCGCGCGCACGCGCTGGTCGAGACGATGTAGCCCCCGAGAACGGTCGGCACCAGCTTCGCCGCCCACATCTCTCTGAGCAGCGACCGGGCCGGCGGCCACTGCCCGCGCTCTTCGCACGCGCTGGTCGAGATGTAGCTCCTGAGGACGGCCAGCACCAGCTTCGCCACCCACATCTCTCTGAGCAGCGAACGGGCCGGCTGCCACTGCCCACACTTCTCGCACGCGCTGTTCGACATGAAACTCCCGAAGACGGTCGGCACCTGCTTCGCCACCCACATCTCGCAGAGCAGCGATTGGGCCGGCTGCCACTGCCCGCACTTCCCGCACGCGCTGGTCTAGATGTAGCTCTGGAGGACGATCGGCACCAGCTTCGCCACCCACGTCTCTCTGAGCTGCGACCGGGCCGGCTGCCACTGCCCGCGCCTCTCGCACGCGCAGGTCGAGATGTAGCTCCCGAGGACGGTCGCCACCAGCTTCGCCACCCACATCTCTCTGAGCAGCGACCGGGCCGGCTGCCGCTGCCCGCACTTCTCGCAAACGCTGGTCGAGATGTAGCTCCAGAGTGCAGTCGGCACCAGCTTCGCCACCCACATCTCCCTGCCCAATGCCCGCACTTCTCGCGCGCGCTGGTCGAAACGATGTAGATCCAGAAGACACTGGGCGCCGTCTTCGCCACCCACGTCTCGCTGAGCAGCAACTGGGCAGGCTGCCCCTGCTCGCACTTCTCGCACGCCCTGGTCAAGACGCCATGGCTCCTGAGGACGTTCGGCACCAACTGCGCCACCAACACCTCTCTGAGCAGCGATTGGGCCGGCTGCCACTGCCCGGACTTCTCGAACGCGCTGGTCGAAGTGACGCAGCTCCTGAGGACGGTCGGCACCAGCTTCGCCACCCACATCTCGCTGAGAGGCGATTGGGCCAGCTGCCACTGTTCGCACTTCTCCAACGCGCGGGCGAGCGTGCTGAAAGGGCGCTTTCCTGAGCAGCGCCGCAGCCCGCCGCCACAACTCGCCCGTCTCCGCCCTGCCACTGCCGCCCTGCCCCGCTCCAATGCCGCCGCTGCCGCCCCTCCTCCTCTCTCCTCCTCCGCCCGCCGCGCCTCCTACCGCGCCGCCACTGCCGCCCCTCACCACTCCCCCCAGGAGGACTGCCCGCCCCGCCCGGCCACATACGCGCGCGCCGCGCCTGTCCCCGCCCGCCGCGCCGGCCGCGAATTGAAGTCAGCGCCCCGGGGCACTGGAAGCACGCCCACGCCCGGCCGTCGCCGCTGCCCCCCCCCCCTTCACGCCGCCACCATTCCCTCCCATTCCTCCCACCGCGCAGCCACTGCCGTCCCTCTCCGCCCCCGCTGCCCTCCCTTCTCCTCCTACAGTGCCGCCACTGCCGCCCCTCCCCGCTGCTCCCACTGCGCTGCCATCGCCGTGCTGCCCCACTGCTCTTCCTCCAAGCCCCGCCGCGCCGCCACTGCCACCCCTCCCCGCTCCGCTGCCCGCTGCCACTGCTGGCTCTTCTCGCCTCCGCAGCGCCCCAGATTCACGACCAGCCTCTCGCCCAGCGGCGCCCTGGCCCTCTGCCGCTGCCGCAGCCCGCCCTTCTCGCACGCGCTGGTCAGGACCCTGTCGTCGCGCTGGTGCTTGTTCGTCGCGCTGAAGCTGTACCGCGGCGCGTGGGGCTGGTCGTTGTCCTGCAGGTCGCACTGCGCCTGGTCGTGCTGCTCCTGGTCGCGGTCATCGCCGTTGGGCTGCTGGTAGCCGGAGCACCGCTGGCCCCGCTGGCGCGCGCAGTCGGCGGGCAACGCCGGCGGGGCGCACGGCCCCGCCCCCAGCGCTGCGGCCTCCGTCTCTTGCAGGAGCGCCAGCACCGCGCCCTGCGAAGCACCACCCGCGATGACACGAATGGCTGCGAGGACGCGCTGGCGCTGCTCGTAGGCGCCGTAGATCGCAGGGCCCGCCTCGGCGCCGCGCGGCGGCACCTCGATTGCTGCGCCAGCGCGGCGTCGGAGCAGCAGCAGGGGCCGCGCACCGCGCTCCATGAGAGCGAGGCCGCACCAGGGCTGGCGCGGGCGCCTCCGTCCTGCAGTCCGCGCCCGCGCGGCGCGGCGGCGCAGCGGCGGCACGGCGCCTGCAGGGCTGCCCCCACCGCGAGGGGGAGGCGTGCGTGGGCCGGCCGCCGTGGGCCAGCCGGAGGCGGCGCCCGTCGGCCAGCTCGGCCGCGGTCCCTCGACCGCCCTCGCGCCCCCTGCAACGCGCGCAGAGGACCGGGCCGCGGCAGGCCTGCGGGCCGCCGCAGACCGCACACGCCGGGAGGGCGGCGGCAGTTTCCCCAGCGAGCGCCGCGCGCCGACAGCATCGGCGGCTAGCGCCCCGCCGGCGCTGCCCCGGGCGGCACCGGCATCGCAGCCGTCGTAGCTCCGCTGGCCGTCGTGGCGGAGCACGAGCATCTCCGCGCGCTTGACCAGGCGGGCGTCAGGCGCGAGCGCTGCGCTGCCAGGCGCGTCGATGTAGATGCCGAGGCCCCACTCCAAGGAGATCCCGATCGCCATGCGGGGCCCCTGCAGCACCACGCGCCGCGCGCGCACGCGGGGGTCGCACTCGCACTCGAACGGACGGGCCCGCCCATCTGCCCCGGGCCTCGCGGAGCCACTCGTCGAGAAGAGCGCCAGCGGGAAGACCAGTGCGGAGCTCGCCGCGGGTCCGCAAGAGAACGCCTCGGAGTCGTGGAACCGCCGCGTCGAGAACGGAAATCAGCTCCTCAAGCAAGGCCACGTCGGTGACACTGCCCAGGCCCGCGCTAGCCATCATGGCCTCGAAGCTCTCGTCGCCCCAGAAGAACCACGCCGAGTGGACGTCTGGGCTGCGGCGAACCGCTGTTAGGCACGGGTCGTGGACGATGACCGTCTCGCACTGGCACTGGCAGGCCCAGTCGGCAAAGAGCTGGCGCAGCCCCCAGCCGCGAGAGCCCTGCGGCAGCGCCCGCGCGCCCAGCAGCGACGGCCCTGCAGACATCGGCCGGCTGGCCGGGAGATGCGCGAAGCGACAGCGACCGAGGGCATGCCAGGGGCAGCCGTCGCCGCATCTGCAGTACGGCGCGGCCTGCGGCGCCGGTGGCGGGCCGCCCTGCCCGGGGCGACGCCCGCGGCACATCCGCGGCCCACTCCGAGCGTCTGGGGCCAGCGACTATGTGCGCGTCATCAGCGAGGTCTCGCGTGAGAGACTCGCCCTCCCTCTGCGCCTCTCGGATGGCCTCCAGACCGTCGCCCTCGCCCCTCTCCTCGGCTCTCGCCCCCCTCGCCCCGCAAGGGATTCGCTTCCGCCGCGCTGTCCCCGAGCTCGGCCCTGGGCGCGCTTGCGAGCACGATGGCCGCGCCAGTGGTGGCGTCCCCAGGAGGGCGCTGGCCGACTGCTGCCGGCGCCGGCACTGCTGCTGCCGCGGCCAGGCTGTCGGCGCCACGATCCGCAAGCAGCGGCTTGCAGGAACAGGACCACGGCCGCGTCGCAGCCCGCAAAGTCCCCCCGCATGCCGCCAAGGGCTGACGGCGCTTGCAGCTCGGCGCCGCCCTGCGCGTCTGCTCCTGCGCCAGGGCGGGCAGGTGGTGGAACGTCATCTGGGCGAGCGCGCCGCACCCTCCGGAGCTCCGCCGCGCCGGCACGCCCGAAGTCCCCGACTTCGAGGCCCCCCAACCCCAAGTGCCGCGCAGCGCCCCCTCGGTCGGCAGCGCCACGCCACTCCGCTCGGCCCCAGCCCGCAGCGCGGGCGGCGGCCCGCAGCGCAGGGGCATCTATCCCTGCAGCTTGGCAGGCGACCCCGTGCAGGCGGTGCTCGCAGAGGATGGCCAGCTCCCGAGCAGTCTGCGGTTCCGCACCGGCGCCGAGGGCACTGAGCAGCCGCTGCGCCGACGCCTGCTCTTCCACCGTGTGCGCCAGCTTCACGCGAGCGGAAAGGGGGGCTCGGTGGCGCTGCCAGCGCCGCCACGCCGCGCGCCCGGCCCTGGCGCCGAAGGCCGCCGCCGGTCCGGCACCCGCCGGCACCGCAGCAGCCGCGCCGTAGGCCTGACCCCAATCGAGGCCTGCGTGGCCAGGCCAGCGATGGCGGGCTCCGACTTCGCATCCAACCTCTCTCTGAGCAGCACCAGGGCCGGCGCCGCTGGCCGCCGTAGCTTCGGCAGCCGCAGGCACCGCCGCAGCCATCCCCCCCGCGCCCCGCAGCCCCCAGGCTGCGCCCCCGAGCGCGAGGCTTGGCCTTGAGCTAAAATGGCTACGGAGCTGGCGAAGATATTTTTGTTTGGTCGGCGGCCGCGCGACGACGGTCTGGCGGCAACAGGCGTGTCCGGGACGACGGAACAGGCAAATTCCACGCAAGGCGCGCAGTGCACGTGCACTGAGCAAAATGCTCCACATTCGAGCCGAGACGCACCTAGGCGCCGCCCGGTCCAAAAGAACGAGTGCACAGGGGCGCGGGTGCAGCGGAACGCCGCCCTTGCGGCGCCAAGCTCCGAGCAACACCTCAAACAGACAACTGTCACCAGCCCGGAGTACCAGCTGCTGGAAGTGGAAAACAGGCTGACGGCGCTGAAGGCTGATCCACTCAACGCGCAGCGAGCGAACACCACTACAGAGATGTTGAGGCAGGCGTCGGCCAACGGACGGGTCGGAAAGCTGGCGAAGATGCGCGAAGCGTGAAGAATGTATCCGCCACCGTGCCCTCTGGCACGATGACACGTGCTAGAATGCCAAGTGTTGTGCGGCAAGGATTCTGTAATTTTTCCAGCCCCCCCTCCCGGGCCGCATGGAGTTGCGCCCATCGCCCTCACTTCGGGAGGCTCAGTCGGCGCCTAGAAAGGTTACTGGCGCTATCAGAAGCGTCCAAGATGCCCAAGATGGTTCCAATGATGAACCTCCACAGCCGCCAAGAGGCCCAAAATGCCTTCAAGACGCCCGAAAATGGTTCCCAGATGGCCCAAGATGGCCTCGAAACGGCACCAGAGGCCTCCAAGACTGGCCACGAGTGCTCCAAGAGAGCCTCCAGCAAGACCCGAAGAGGCCAAAATCCGCCGACCCCGTGGGTCACGGCGTGTGAGATGCCCCCCCCTGCCCCAGCCCCTCCCCCTGGGGCCTGGCCCTGCCGGTTTGGCGAAGGGGGGGGGGGGCGGGGGAAGGGGGGGGGAGGGAGCGGGGAGGGGGGAGGGGGGGGGGGAAATCCATCACCCGCGCACTTGGAGCCTCAGGAGGCCCCAAATCGAGCCAAAAAGTTTCCAAAGGTTCCCGGAACGGTCCAAAAGAGCTGCAAATCGACGAGAGATCGCCACAAAACGCCGAAGATTGCCTCCACACGGCCCCATAAGTCCCCAAGGCGTTTGAAACAATATTACGAGGCGCCCCAAAGAGGCCCTCCAGAAGCAAATTATCCCGGCAAAGCAACCTAACAGCGATGTGTATCAGCATATCTGGAAACATTCCCCTTAAGATTCAGGTGAGAATCCGGTTGTAGAATTCTGCTGTTCTCGCAGTCGCAGTCGCATTCGCAATGACAGTCGCAGTGGCAACGGCCTTCGGATCCAATGGAATCCTAAGGATTCCTAGGGATTCCTAAGGCATCCTTAGGCATCCTTAGGAATCCATAGGAATCATTAGGAAACCTTAGGAATCCTTAGGAATCCTGATTCCTAGGGATTCCTAAAATCCGAATGGTTCCTAAGGATTCCTGAGGATGCTTAACTATGTCTACGGGTTCCTAAGGATGCCTACGGATTCCTAAGGATTCCTAAGGATTCCTAAGGGTTGCTATGGATTCCTACGGATGCCTCAGCCTGCCTCAGCCCCAGCCTCAGCCTGTCTCGGCTTGCCTCAGCCTCAGCCTCAGCCTGCCTCGGCCTCAGGCTCAGCCTGCCTCAGCCTCAGCCTCAGCCTGCCTCGGCCTCAACCTGCGTCAGCCTCAGCCTCAGCCTGCCTCTGCCTCAGCCTCAGCCTGCCTCAGCCTCAGCCTCAGTCTCAGCCTCAGCCTCAGCCTGCCTCGGCTTGCCTCAGCCTCAGCCTCAGCCTGCCTCGGCCTCAGCCTGCCTCGGCCTCAGCCTGCCTCAGCCTCCCCTCCTCCCCCCCCCTTCCCCCACCCCCCATTCAGCCTCACCTTGTCTCGGCTTCGGCCTGCCTCGGCCTCCCTCATACTCAGCCTCAGCCTCAGTCTCAGCCTCAGCCTGTCTCGGCCTGAGCCTGCCTCGGCCTCAGCCTCAGCCTGCATCAGCCTCAGCCAGCCTCAGCCTCAGCCTCAGCCTGTCTCAGCCTCAGCCTGCCTCATCAGCCTCAGCCTCAGGCTCAGCCTTCCTCGGCTTGCCTCGGCCTCAGCCTCAGCCTGCCTCGGCCTCAGCCTCAGCCTCAGCCTCAGCCTCAGCCTCAGCCTCCTCAGCCTCAGCCTGCATCAGCCTCAGCCTCAGCCTGCCTCAGCCGCAGCTTGCCTCAGCCACAGCCACAGCCTCAGCCACAGCCTCAGCCTCAGCCTCAGCCTGCCTCAGCTTCAGCCTCAGCCTCAGCCTGCCTCGGCTTCCCTCAGCCTCAGCCTCAGCCTGCCTCGGCCTCAGCCTCAGCCTCAGCCTGCCTCAGCCTCAGCGTCAGCCTCTCAGCCTCAGCCTGCATCAGCCTCAGCCTCAGCCTCAGCCTGCCTCAGCCTCAATCTCAGCCTGCCTCAGCCTCAGCTTGCCTCAGCCTCAGCCTCAGCCTGCCTCGGCCTCAGCCTGCGTCAGCCTCAGCCTCAGCCTCAGCCTCAGCCTCAGCCTGCCTCAGCCTCAGCCTGCCTCAGCCTCAGCCTCAGCCTGCCTCGGCGCACCTCAGCCTCAGCCTCAGCCTGCCTCAGCTCCGGCATTCAAAATATGGCACAGGACTGGTGTTCTGGGAACACGAAGATCACGAAGTGGCCCATAGTTGGCTCCGGGCAATCAAAGTATGGTACAGGAGTGGTGTTCTGGGAACACGAAGAACACGAAGTGGCCTACAGTTGGCTCCGGGCATTCAAAATGTGGCCTGAGAAGGAACACGAAGATCACGAAGTCGCCTACACTTGGCTCCGGGCATTCAAAATGTGGCCTGGGAATGGTGTTCTGGGAAAACGAAGAACACGAAGTGGCCTACAGTTGGCTCCAAGCATTCAACATGTGGCCTGGGCATGGTGTTCTGGGAGCACGAAGAACACGAAGTGGCCTACAGTTGGCTCCGGGCATTCAAAATGTGGCCTGAGAATGGTGTTTTGCTAGCTCTGGGCAGTCAAAATGTAGCCTGGGATAATGTTTTGGGGAGTCCCCGGATTCCCGCGGCACCCGTCCGGCATCTGCCCAGACCCCCTTCTGGGGAGTCATGATGCTCCTCTCTTTTGAGCCCACTAGAAACCTATCAATCTTCGCTGTTAAGTAAAATCGCCCCACTCCCTTGGGAAAACGTGCATTTTCACCAGATTCGCCCATTCGGCTTCCACGCGGCGCAAGACGGCCCAAGAAACCTCCAAGATCGACCCTCGCCAGCCCAAGAGGCTCCCAAAAAGGCTCCAAGACGGCTCCCGGGCGATCCACGAAGGCTCCAGAAACCATAGCAAGGGCCCAGGGAAATCCGCAGGACGGTCCCAAAAGGGCTCCAAAACGGGGCAAGAGGGCCCCGAAAGGCTGTCCGGACGGCCCACGCGGGGGACGATTCGGTCCAAACCGCCCAAGATCGCCGCCAGACGGCCCCATGGGTGTCCAAGACGCTTGAAAACACGACCACGAGACGCTCCAAGCAGGCCTCCACAAGCAAAAACCGTCCCATTCCTAGGGAAACGTACATTTTCAGAAGATTCGCTTCTTGGGCTTTCACGAGGCCCACAGCGGCCCAATAAACCTCCAAGATCGACCCCTGTCACCCGAAGAGGCTCCCAAGAAGGCTCCAAAACGGCTCCCGGGCGATCCACGAAGGCTCCAGAGACCATAGCAAGGGCCAAGGAAAGCCGCAGGACGGTCCCAAGAGGGCTCCAAAACGGACCAAGAGGGTTTCCAAAGGCTGTCTGGGCGGCCCACGCGGGGGACGATTCGGTCCAAACCGCCCACGATTGAGACAGCCCCATGGGCGTGCAAGACGCTTGCATACGCGACCACGAGGAGCTCAAAGAACGCCTCCAGAAGCAAAGACCGTCCCATTCCTTCAGGAAAACGTGCATTTTCAGCATATTCGCTTCTTGGGCTTCCACGAGGCGCACAACGGCCCAATAAACCTCCAAGATCAACCTCTGGCACCCCAAGAGATTCTCCAAAAGGCTCCACGACGGCCTCCGGGCGCCCTACGAAGGCACCAGTAGCCATAGTAAAGGCCCGGTGGATCGGCAGGACGGTCCTAAGAGGGCTCCCGAACGTGTCTAGAGGGACCCCACAGGCTGTCCGGACAGGCCACGCGGAGGGGGAACGACTGCCGCCGCCCAAAGGGGTCGGCGGTGTGGCGTAAGCCAGTGAATCCACGTCCGGAGGTGACATGCTGAGCGGCAGCGTTTTTCGGCGAACGCCTTAATGCAACGTATCCAGCGTATCCACTGATTGCATAATTGCCACATCTTGCATTGTATTACATTATTATGTGTCCCCCCCTAACCCCCCCCTGGGAGCCGCGCCACAAGAACGGACCAAAATGATCGGCCCTCCTTCCGGGGCCCCAAACCTTCAAAAACCTATGAAAAATCAACAAACTCGGCCTCTTGGGCCTCTGGGGACTCCAAGAGGGCCTCAAGATGGCCCCTGATGGCCCCAAGACGGCCCCAGACGGCCCCAAGACG